ATAATTTTCTTGTTTCTTTTTTCTAAATTTCAAAAAGTTATCATATTAATTTTAATTTTTCAATTTACCTTTCATTCATTTTAATTCTTTCTCAGCTTGGGCTAATATTTTTGCGTGTTTTATTGGTGACAATGGTTTCCATTTATGCTATTTTTGGTGCCATCATATTATCTCATTTGGAAACTCAAGAGGTCGATCAGTGGTCAAATTTTATATCACAGAATGATGCTATTCAAATTTTCACTCGTAAGTTCTTCCAATTCTTTTGTTGTATAAATAATGAACGTTAATAATTTCTCAATAATGTTAATATTATTTCATAATTTCACCTTCACATAATTACTTTTAAAATTAAAATTATAAGAATGCACAAAACCCGCAAAATGTATGATAAAATTCATATTATTAAAGAAGAGAATTTTTATCGTTAAAGAAAAAAAAAAAAAGGACATTGCTACGTAATCATTATTTCATTGGATATCTAAAATGATATGAGAAATCGATGTGTTTAGAATCGACATTATTTCCGCCTGTTTATGCAAATCGTTGGAATCGATCTCAGAATAATATTCGTCAGTGTATAACCGATATTATCAGGGTAAACAATGATAATTTTTTAACAAATATAAAATATCACAAACTTATATAATTTGTTCTTTTTTTATTCAAATAATTTTCTTTTCATTCATTTTCATTTCTCGATTTAAAAATATATCATATAGTAAAAAATGAAAATAATTTATGTTACGACGATTTTCCTCGTCTTCTAGATCTAACTATAAAATGGATTTTAATATGAAATCGGTTCTACAAAAAAAAAAAAAAAATTTCGATCATCATAATATACAATCTCATTTAATTTGTCAACAGTGATTAAATTTTCCTGCAATTCATTTTCTACTATTTTATTATTTCAATTGTTTTTTCAATTATAAAAATTAATGATTGCAATGAATACAGAGTATAAGATTTTGTATTATTAAAAATTTTCAATTTTTTTGCCTTAAAATTTACGATAAATTTCAGGATTTATTAAAGAAAAGTGATTGCTCTAATATTGTATTCGATCATTTGTCACTTCGCTACTTCAAACGTTGTTATTATTACAATTTATTTTCATTTTCAAATATGACTGATAATGAAAAACGAAATAATAGCAATAATCACTTACCAACGTACATTCAACCATCTAATTTGCATGGTTCGCTTCCGTTCATGTTCAAAAAATTATAATAAATTTTGCATCATATGATGGATTATATGTATGAATGGTTAATTTAATCAATATATTTTAAAAAATCAAACAAAAAAAGTAACCTGAATATAATTGTATTAAATTTAGCAAATTTCAAAAGCTAAACAACATATTAATTAAATTGCAACATATTAATTAAATTCACACGTTAATTAAATTTAGTTAAATTTAGCAAATTTTAAAAACTAAACAAATTTAATTCTGAAATTTCCTTTTTTTATTGGTTTAGATAGTGAAATGATAAATGATTTATCTGCTGAAGGATGGCCATTTATTGATTCTTTATTATTTGTATTTTCACTTATCACAACAATCGGTTTGTTTTAATTAAAATTTTTTTTTTTTTTTTTACGTTCTACAATTCAATCAATAATGGGCAATAAGATATACAAATATTAGAATGGAACAAATTTGATATTTAATGAATCATTTACAAAAATAGTAGTTAGTCACATACTGTCGTCCTATGTCATTGTTTTTTAAGGTATTGAGGAATTAACAGATTTTGAATATATTTTTATTGAGTGAATTACGCAATTGATCCTACCAAATACAGACAGACAAATAATTTGTAATTTACCAAATATATTTATTGCAAAAACAAAAATGTTAAACATAATTTAATGTAATTATCGTTTTTTTTTTTTTGTTAATTTTTCTCCATTTTTTTTTTCTCCTCATTTATTGTTTTTTTTTTCTCTCAGGTTATGGTAATATTACACCGAAAACTTTTGCTGGACAAATATTCTGTATATTCTTTTCTGCATTTGGCGTACCGTTAACATTACTTACTATTGCGGATCTTGGCAAATTCATTTCTGAAATTATTTTCGCCTGCAATGATCGCTTTAGTGTTCAATTAAAGTTACTATTTTCAAATTTTTTTTTTCTTTTACACTCTAAAAATTTTTATGTAAGTTCTGCTGCAATCCAAAAATTTGTGCATAAAATTTTTTTGTATTCAAAAAAAAAAAAAACAAACAAACAAAAGTCTACTTTTAAATTCTTTCACATTTTTAAAATTCAAAACACTTGATTCACATTTGAAATTCAAACTTGAATTGATTGATCGTTTAGAAATCTAATTCTTCCGCATAATTAATTATTCAGTT